ACACACACACACACACACACACACCTGGAGCAGTGCATCTATGGATTTGGGATTCTGCAGCAACAGCCCAGCCCTTAATTGCTAATCATGTTAATTACAGTAGGGCCTGAGGGGCCCTTTGGGCTAGGTGCTGTCCAAGCCCTGCACTCCCCCTGCTCAGGGGGATCAGGCCCCTCTGGAGCATGCCCTGAAGCAGCTGGCTCCCCAGAAGTCTCTTTAGGTCCAGCTACACTGCAGTAAAGGACCAGTGGGACAGCACAGCAAAGGCTGGAGGTCCTGGAGCTTGGGGCTAAACATTGCAGTGTAGACATTGATTTGGGCTTGGGCTGGAGCGTGGAATCTAGGACCCCACAAGGTGGATGGGCCTCAGCCCAGACTCCAGCCCAAGCTCAAATGTCTGCATGGCAACGTTTAGCCCCAAAGCCTGAGCCTGTGTAAACGGCCCTGAGCGCTGACTCTTGGGGCAGTGGGGTTTTTATAGACGTCCCCTTTGAGGACGAGGCTCTACGCCCACCAAGGAAGGGGCAGGATCTGGCCCTACATTCGCCTTTGTAGCAGGCACCATGCTGGGCTCTGCCAGAGAGTGGAAACCAGGTTCATCCACAGCCAGGGTGATGCTTTGGCTGGGACAGAGATAAAACCAGGAGCCGGGGGGGGGGGAGGGGAGAAATGTAAATGTTTGCTCAGAGTTTTCAGGGGCATTTCAACCCCCACATTCAGGGTATCCACATACTGAACGCCAAAGCAAACAAAGTGGGTGAAGTTGCCTGAGGGAAGAGACGGTCCCCTTTCCACTCAGCTGCCACTAACCTTACTCACGGGGCAGGGGTGAGCCCATCAGCTTTATCTAAGATAGCTTCCCAGGCCAGGATGTGCAGGTCCCCAGGATATCTGAAGAGCCCTCTGACCCAAGCTAATCACTCGGGACATTGGACGAGTTCTTTGGGGGGTGTCTAGCGAGAAATCTCTTGCTGCCCACATCAACCCACCTCCCTCTCTTGGATGGAGTTAAGGATCCTCACCTCAGGCCTGTAGCTGGCTGCAGCTCCTGGGGCTGGCTGCAGCTCCTGGGGCTGGAAGAACCCAACAATGATTCTAGGAGGAGTCACGTAACATTCTCGGGCCTGGCCCTTTCCACAAATCCTTCATCAGTCTCACTCCAGGTGGAATGGCCCATCCCAGCATGCACAGCGGTGGTAGGAATGGACAACAGGCTGGAGTGCAGTTGTCAGAATTTTGTCAACTATTGAGAAGCAAAAGCCATGGGAGAAACCAAGCTGATGTTGGTTATTACTGCAGCAGGCGAATGGGTGATCTAGAGGCGGTTACGCTGCCCGGGCATCACCAATAATTGCTCCGTGGAAACCCTTGTGGGACACATTTTATTTTTCAGTTAAAAAAATATATAAACAACTCCACGGCTTCCTAACAGTTATTACAATAATCAAAACCACAATGAGCAGACTAGATACACATCTGTGAACAAACAACTGTCCCGGGGTTGGAGAAGGGCAGAGGCGGCAGGCTGGGGAGGGGAGATGCAGTTAAAAATGTCTCATATTAAATCACTCCCAGGCCCTCAAACCTACTCTGTGAAACAACCCCCCGGGCTGGATAGGTCCTTGTGGAGACCACAACCACCACCTGATCCCAGCGATTCTGTTGCTCCCCATGTCACTCCCACAGCCCGCCACCATCCCTCTCTCTCTGCCCTCCACCACCATCCCTCTCTCTCTACCCTCCACCACCATCCCTCTGCCTGTTGAGATCTTTTCCCCGGAGAACATCCCTGACCTAGACTCACATCAGATCTCACCCCATCACACCCGTGATGTTGTCACCCAGCTTCAGACAGTCCCTTCTATCTTCCCCCTCAACCCACCCCTCACTTTATACCCTCTTCAGATGGGATGCCGCTGCAGAGAGTCAACACTGCCACCCAGCTGCAAAGGTCACATAAGTGCCAAGCAATGCATGGCACTCTGTCCCGTGCTGCGGGTTGTCCCTCTGCCCTGCTGCACTTGGGGGCAGAAGCGACACCCAGAACTCAAAAAACAGGAATCAAGCCAGTCTCTTCCAACTAAACTAGACTGACCTAGACTCTTCCTGCCACGAGGAGCTTAAGCCAGAAAATACCCACCTCTAGCAATGCCACCAATGGGCAGAATCTCTGTATTCCACCCACAGCAGAGGTCTAAAGCCTGCACCTACCATTAACGACACAAACCCACCCCACCCAAATCACAAGGAACTCGCTTCCACGAACCTGCACTAACGTCCGTAGTGGGTGTTCATGTTAACAGCGAGACGTCTACTCAGCTCTGGCCTCCCTCAGACCCAGGCAGACAAGAGCCATTTGAACACGGGACCAGCCCCAACATGCCAGGGCAACAGGAAAAGGGACTCTCGAAATTAGATGAGCAATGGTTGGACTTCATGGCTGCCTTTGACGGGAGCATACAGCATCAATAGCTCCTTCCTTAGCCCACTGAGAACGCCTGTATTCAAGGGTTGCCTTGATTTCTGGTTGGCCTGGGGAGCAGAGGGGGCAGCTTAAATATAGATTAATGGCAAGAGGAGAAAAGAGGTGCATGAAAACGCATTTGAACCCCAAAGCTGCTGGCTCCACAATGTTCCTCGTTAGCCAGACAGAACGCGGCACTCTGGGACTTCACAGCTAGACCACATGGAAAGAGGCAGCAGAATCCGTTATTTCTAAACGTTTCACAATGCCCCAAGTGCCTCACCTATGGGAGCCCGGCAACCAACGCTGGCTGCTGACAGCAGTGAAAGGAGAGGCCGAGACTGCAGGACAGCAACTCTCTTGTGAGACTAAGGATTGGGGCCCAAGGCTCTGAGCTCAGGAGCTATCGTCAGGGCCCAGTTCTGACTAGTTCAATTTGGGGCTCCATAGACGGGGTACGTCGTGTGGGGGAGGGAAGAGAGGGTCCGACTGGCAGCCAGGGGCACTGCAACAGTCTAGTTTGGGGCATCACCAGGAATCAGGTTTAATGGGGGGGAATTCGCTGGTTTCAAACAGCCCAGTTGGGGCTATAGGAATTGGAACTAGGGATGAGAAAGCAGCATTTTGGGGGAGCCAGAAGGCTTGATGTTGGTTATGGGGTGAACACTGCCTTGGACAGGCCACTTCAGGGCTCTGGGGCGGGGGGAGGGGGATTTAAATACGGAGGAGGCTTAAGCTGGTCTTGGGGGCTAGGCAGGGAAAGAGGAGCAGATGCGCTCCTGGCAGTGTGATCCCAGGATGGATCCATAGGGGATGGGCTGTGGGGTTGAACACACTCCAGGGATTT